TGGAATGCTGATTTTTAATTAGAAATACCCATAGGAATTTGTGATTTTGAAAAAAAATTAAGTTTCCTAGCTCTGCCCAATGAGAGGGCACAGATACTATGCACATGGATTGCATTGAGCACCCCAGCATTTAAATGTTCATACTTAAACACCATTTCACAGTAAAAAGAACTGGTGTTCCTTGGAGAACAGCTTAATTCTAGATCTTGGGCAGGGAAAGTTTAGGGAAGTCAGAGATGCTCATGCCAGAAAGCAAGAAAATGCTTCATAAAAAAGAGGAACACAGGAATACCATGAGGGAAACTAATCACATCCAGAATATAGAATATTTTACTGATCTAGTCTATTTATGTATGTATGTATGTATATATGTATATATGTATGTATGTATGTATTTTATATATTTATCTTTATTGTTGAAAGTATTACAGATGTCCCCCCTCTTTTCCCCCATTGACCCACTCCTCCCCACTCCAACCCCCTCCTGCCTTCCCCACACTATTGTCTATGTCTATTTGCTATGCATATATGCATATAAGTTCTTTGGTTTATCTCTTCCCACTCCCCTCCCCACTTCCCTTTGAGGATCTTCAGTCTAACAGCCAATTTGTACTTCTTAATCTCTTTACCTTTTCACCCATTCCCCCAAATGCCCTTCCATATGGCTACCAACAAAAAGTTCTCTGTATCTATGAGTCTATTTTTGTTCTGCTTGTTCATTTTGTTTGTAGATTTGATTGTTGATAGATACGTATTTATTGCCATTTTATTGTTCCTATTTTTGTTCTTCTTCTCCTTCAAGAAGATCCTTCAACATTTCATATAATACTGGTTTGGTGGTGATGAACTCCTTTAGCTTTTTTGTCAACCTGGAAAGCACTCTTTATATGTCCATTGATTCTTTTTTTATTATTATTTAAATTAATTAACTTATTTTTGTTACAGATGTTTCTCTTTTTCCCCCCACTGATTTCCCCTTCCCCTCCCTCCCCACCCTCTCCCCAGCTTTGTTGTCCATGTCCATTGATCATGTATACATGCATGTAAGTTCTGTGGTTTATCTCTCCCCCCACCCCCTCTTGTGGGGATAGTCAGTCTGTACCCCACTTCTACATCTCTGTGGCTACCCCATTCCTCAGACTGTTATGTTCATTATATTCCACAAATAAGTGAGATCATATGATACTTGTCTTTCTCTGTTTGGCTTGTTTCTCTTAGAATGATACTTTCCAGGTCCCTCCATGTTGTCTCAAAGGATAAGAGATTTTTCTTTCTTACAGCTGCATAGTACTTCATTGTGTATATGTATCACTGCTTTTTTACCATTCATCTACTGATGGACATTTGGGCTGTTTCCAGATCTTAGCTATTGTAAATAGTGCTGCTACAAACATGGGGGTACATATATTCTTTCTGATTAGTGTTTAAGGCTTCTTCGGGTATATTCCTAGAAGGGGGATCACTAGGTCAAATGGAAGTTCAATTTTTAATGGTTTGATGTAACACCATATTGTTTTCCATAGTGGCTGCACCAGTCTGCATTCCCACCAGCAGTGTACTAGAGTCCCCTTTTCTCCACACCCTCGCCAACACTTGTTTGATGATTTTTTTTTATATGAATTTTTATTTATTTTTTTGTTACAGATATTTTACCTTTTTACCCCATTGGCACCCCCCACCCCACCGCACCTCCGCCCCGTCCCCGGCTTAGTTGTCCATGTCTATTGGTCATGCATACATGCATATAAGTTCTGTGGTTTATCTCTTCCCACCACCCCACCACCCCATCCCCTCTTCTGAGGGATGTCGGTCTCTGCCCTGCTTCCATGTGTCTGGGTCTACTGTATTCCTCAGACTGTTATGTTCATTATATTCCGTATATAAGTGAGATCATGTGGTATTTGTCTTTTTCTGCTTGGCTTCTTTCACTTAGGATAATACTTTCCAGGTCCCTCCATGTCGTCTCAAAGGATAAGAGATCTTTCTTTCTTACCGCTGCATAGTACTCCATTGTGTATATGTACCACACCTTTTTTATCCATTCGTCTACTGGTGGACACTTGGGCTGTTTCCAGATCTTAGCTATTGTAAATAGTGCTGCTATGAACATGGGGGTACATATATTCTTCCTGATTGGTGTTTCAGGCTTCTTAGGGTATATTCCCAGCAGTGGGATCACTGGGTCAAATGGAAGTTCAATTTTTAATTTTTTGTGGTAGCACCATATTGTTTTCCATAGCGGCTGCACCAGTCTGCATTCCCACCAGCAGTGTATTAGAGTCCCCTTTTCTCCACACCCTCGCCAACACTTGTTGTTTGATGATTTGTTGATGGCAGCCATTCTGACAGGTGTGAGGTGATACCTCATTGTTGTTTTAATTTGCATCTCTCTGATGATTAGTGATGTTGAACATTTTTTCATATGTCCTGTTTGGAGAGGTGTCTATTTAGTTCCTCTGCCCATTTTTTAATTGGGTTGTTTGTCTTTTTATTGTTGAGTGGGATGAGTACTCTATATATATTGGAAATTAACCCCTTATCTGATATATCATTGGCAATTATGCTCTCCCATACAGTGGGTAGCCTTCTCATTTTCATGATTGTATCTTTTGCTGTGCAGAAGCTTTTGAGTTGATGTAGTCCCATGTGTTCATTTTCTTCTTTGTTTCTATTGCCTTAGGTGATGTGTCAGTGAAAATTCTGCTGAGTATGATTTCTGAATGTCCATTGATTCTAAATGATGGCTTTGCAGGATAGAGTAATCTTGGCTGTGTGTCCTTGCTTTGCACTATTTTAAATATTTCTTGCCACTCCCTTCTGGCCTACAAATCTCTTTTGAGAAATCAACTGACAGTCTTATGGGAGCTCCCTTGCAGGTAACTAACTGTTTTTCTCTTGATGATTTAAAAATTCTCTTTGTCTTTAACCTTTTACATTTTGATGATGGTGTGTCTTGGTGTGGGCCTCCTTGGATTCATATTGTTTGGGACTCTCTCTGATTCCTAGATTTGTATATGTGTTTCCTTCACCAAGTTAGGGGAGTTTTCTTGTCATTATTTTTTCAAACAGGGTTTTAATTTCTTGCTGTCTCTCTTCTCCTTCTGGCACCCTCAGGATGTGAATGTTGGTATGCTTGAAGTTGTCCCAGAGGCCTCCTACACTACTTTCATTTTTTGTTTGTTTGTTTTATTCCTTTATCTTTTTGCTGTTCTGATTCTGTGTTTTTTTATTTTTTATATTCCAAATTGATGGTCTGATTCTCAGCTTCACCTACTCTACTATTGATTCCCTGTAAATTATTCTTTATTTCAGTTAGTGCATCCTTCATTTCTGACTGGTTATTTTTTATGCTTTTGAGGTCCTCACTAAGTTCCTTGAGCATCCTTATAATCAGTGTTTTGAACTCTGCATCTGTTAGATTCTTTATCTCCATTTCATTTAGTTCTTTTCCTGGAGTTTTGTTTTGTTCTTTCATTTAGGACATGTTTCTTTGTCTCCTCATTTTGGCTGCCTCCCTGTGTTTATTTCTATGTATTAGGTAGAGTTGCTATGTCTCCTAGACTTGGTAGGGTAGTCTATTGTAGTAGGTGTCCTGTAGGGTCCAGTGGTACAACCTCCCTGATGACCACAGCTGGGCCCTCATGGTGCACCTTCCACATAGACTGTATACCCTTCTATTATAATTGAGTCTTGATTGCGGTTGGCACATCAAATGGAAGGGATTTACTCAGGCTGATCAGCTTCAAGGACTGGCTGTGCCCACTCACCACTAACCTCTGACCACCTTAGAGGATCAGCTATGCAGGGGCCACTACACAGAGCAAAACTTACTTCAGCAGGGCTCTGGTACCCACTGAGTCCACCCTGGAGTGTGTCACTTGTGGAGGTGGTTGGGTGGTGGTGCTTTGACATAGTTTGAAGCTGTCCACTGGGTATGCTGGCTCTGGGGCCTCCCAGGAGGTGCAGGCCTAGGTCAGCCACTGCCTGTATGCTAGCCGGGGCCACCAGGCATAAGTTACAAAGTGATCTACAGGTGGCTGCTTCTTGTGCTGGGCTTGAAGGTGCCCAGGCAAATCCAAAGCTGGCTGCTTCTAGTGTCAGGCTAGGGTCGCCAGATGCTGCTTGTTTAAAAGATTTCAGTAAAATCTGAAACATGAGCCTGTACAGACCATGTCTATGGTAAAGCCAGTGGAAACAGCTTGGGTGGGCCCGAATGTTGGGTGGGGCAGGGCCTCAGGGAATCACTAGGGCAAGGCAAACAGTGTGAACCAGGTAGCTGGAGTCCCAGATATGGCGCTCATCTGCCTGCCCCGTAGGGGAAGGGCTCACCAAAGGAACCATGGCCTCCACCAGCACATCTGTCTGGGAGAAAGCTGCTCCTCCTCCCCAGCTCTCACCCTGATGCCAAACAACTCAGTTCTTCTCCCTATGTCTCTGGTGCCTTTCAAGCTGCCTCCCCCATAGGATAGAACCTGATCTTGTCTTACTGCTGCTTTGTTGAGAATATTTCTGGCAAGCACACTTGACTATTTTATTTTATGTTTGTCATATTATCTTCTGAAAAATGAGGTGACACTTCACCTGGTGAAAGGCTAACATTGGAACACAACTGTGAGGCTCAAGGAACTGGGAAAACTTTGAGTCTTATGGGTCTTACTCCTGACCACTTTGCAGAAAATCAGGCTTGGTAAGTTTCTCCTTGAAACTGACTTTCTATCTGCCTTGGAAATGGCTACATGGACAGGGTTTGCAGTATGATTTACTTCTTGACTGTGTGATCTTGGCAAGTTCCGTAACTACCCTGTGCCTCAACTTTCTAATCTGTACAGTGGGGAGAGACTAATCCCCATGTTTAAGAGTGGTTGGAAAGGATTTAGTGAGATGATCCATTCAGGTTCTCAATGAAGAGTGCCTGGTAATTCTGGTGAGGAAACTGCTGTGCTTGGACAGAAGTCAACCGCCCAGTCACTACAGTTCTCTCGTCTCCCATTCCCTTCCAGTTGGCCATGGACAGAGTGAAGGGGAGAGGATGGTAGTGTCCGACTTCCACATTTTTGTCAGGGATGTGTTACAGCATGTGGATGTTGTGCAGAAAGACTACCCAGGGCTGCCTGTCTTCCTTCTGGGCCACTCCATGGTAAGTAGACCACAGAATACCCAATCCAGATCAAGCCTGTAGTGGGTGGGCACTGTGAAAACACCATGGTGCAGAAGGGGCAGCCCTGTCTCCCTGCCTCATCCCATTTCCCTACCTGGCTGGCAGACCCCACTTCGCAGACCCTGCACTTGAAATTCCCAGGCAATGTAGTGCTTAAGAAACAGGTCAGGTTCAGAGTTCTGGAGATAGCCCCAAAGGGAGCTCAGAGTGACCCATTACTTTCCACGAGGGCCCAAGGCACCAGGAAGTAGCCTATATATCCTTTCTAAGGAGCTCGGGCATAGGGCACCTTAGGAACTGATCTTTTTTATTTAACCTTTTTTCCACCTCAGAGCCATTTCACAGTGAGGCTCTCAAGGGCACTTCTGCTCCCTTCAGAGCCACTTCACAGAGCAAGGATGATGCTTCAGTCAGTGAGAAGTGCACAGAATATGCCAAAACCCTACCCACTTGCTTCAGAGCTGTACAAATGGGAACTAGGGACAAAGGCTCCCCATGGACTCAGTTCCTTAATGGTCATTCAAAATCCTTTTCACCCTTTTAATTTATAAAATCCTATAAGAATTAACCAAGTATAATCTTTAAATTGAGAATTCTCAAACTGGCAGCAGCCAAGGCACATCTTTCTCCAACAACCTGACGAGCTGGTTGGCAGGTTATTTTAACTATTTTTGAATTTGGGGAAACTTTTAACTTTGGGGCAGAGCTTCCACCCCCTTTATCACAGCCTCGCTCTGTTCCTGCATCTCTCTTAATCTGGTTCCTATAAGCACTTGCAGTTTCAACCCTTTGTTCAAATTACCTGCAGCTTCAGTAAATAGCCAAGGCCTCAGACCTTCAGCACTAGCCATGTTCACTAAGTCTTTTTCTTGGTACTGATCCGGTTGGGGTGAGGGGGAACTGTAGCAACCCCTTATTAACACCAAATTAAAAACAAAAAACAAAACAAAACAAAAAAATTCTCTTATTAAGCCTGACAGAATAAATGAATTGTATGTCTGCTGGCTTTTGGTCTGAAGCAAAGTAGGAATGTGTTATTGTTTAACTTGCAGCCCACAAGCAGGAACCTTATTTGTCTCTCTGAAATGTTTTCTCTAGGGAGAAAAAAAGTGTAGTAAAATAATTGCAGTCCAGTTTATCCAACATTCGATGCTGTCTGTTCCAAGGTGGACCTCCTCAGGTCTCTCTTTGACCAGGCTTAGGAGGACCTCATCCATGGAGTTCATTAGAAATCATGAACTGGTGGAAGCTGGCACACAGCAACTCTACCCATTTTGTATTGCAGGGAGGTGCCATCGCCATTCTCACAGCTGCAGAGAGACCGGGCCACTTCTCTGGCATGGTTCTCATCTCACCTTTGGTTCTGGCCAATCCTGAGTCTGCAACAACTTTCAAGGTAAATGGGCTTCTGGCTCTGTGAAGCTCCTGCAGCTTCCCCGGGATTTCCATTTATAGCTAGAGTCTGGGGAAAAGGGCCAAAGTTCATTTGAATAAATATCAAACATTATTGCCGCTGGCATTCTATAATTTCTTTAATCAGGTGCTTTCTTCCCCAAAGACAAAGGAAAAATGACTTCCTGCTTGTGCATGTTTCATTGGTGAATGTTAGAAGGAGAAAGGGTTACATGTGTTAGGAATCCAACAAAGTAACTTTTGTTAATAAGTCACATGCAAGACTCAAGCTGATTTTTATTGAATATTTGCCAACTTCAGCCAGAAGTACACAGTAAGTGAAATTGCAGGCTATTTGTAATTACAACATAGAGTGGTGCTCACTGTAGCTCTCCCCCATCCCAGAGCACTTTCCCCTCTGATTCTAACAGAACCATCATTTTGTTTTTCTGGTTATAATGTTACCCAATGACACATATGTACACCTCTTGGTTCTGGGGCTTTGACCTACTTTGACAAGGCAAAAAAAAAAAAAAAAAAAAAAAAAAAGCCAATAATACTACCATAAGTAGAGCAGGTACCCTCTCCTGAGATAGGAGAGGAAACTGGTCCTCAGCAGGGCTGCTTAATTGTGAATGTGGTTTGTTAACATATGATGGACCCGTCCTTGAGGGGCATGCAGTTTAAGAGAGATAATAATCTAATGAGAGTAGAGAATCCTCACCCTGTGTATCTCCAAGGAATGCTCTATCTCACCCAAGTGTGAGGTAAGATTGCTGTCTCCTGAGCCTGTTTTCAGAACTCTCAAAGGAACACGAAGTCTGGGATGGTAGGTCACATGGCCAGGGGCAACTGGGAAGCCATAAGCCCACAAGCTTACCCTACTTTTTCTGGTCTCACCATCAAATGACAGCAGCATCATTTAAATCATTGCCTTAGCTCAGAGGCCTTTGATATTCTCCTGAGTACCCAAACAGGGGAACACAGGACAGGGAATGAAACCTTATCAAAATGTTCCCATAGCCCACAGCCACATAATTAATCCCTAGAGATGGGCTATCAGGTCCTGTGTATGGACTTTCAGTTAGGTGCCAATAATTTCACCAATTTCAAATGAGGACAGATAGAGCAAGAGAGAAACCTGAAACTATCTATCAGTAGTTTAACCAGAGAACAACAATTTACTTAATTTGAGGAAGAAGAGAGAGGGCCACTCTTTTAAATTTTACTGTTTTAAAGAAGTCACCACTGCCTTATTGAAATTGACTAGCATTAGTAAATTTTATTGCTGTGTGGGACAGCAATGGAGGCAGGAGCTACATGTTTCTGCCATGGAAGGAAACAAGGTCATCCACAGAATCACAAGTGGCTTTTTAAATGTGCAAGAGGGGACACGACCTCTTGGACAATTCTCATTGTGACTGTGGTTGCAAAATGTGAGTCAGTCAAGGGCACTTGTCCAAGTAGAATAAGCGAGACCAGGGTCACAGAGGAGAAGAAAGTTCCCTCTGCCATCCATGTGCTTAGAGTCATGTGCTTGAGATTTACTCAGCTTAGTGAGTGCCGGGTATGTGCTGTGCTTTTACATGCATTATTTCACTTAACCCCCATCATCAACCTAGAGAGAGGTCACAACCTGCATTTTATGGATGGAACACTGAGGTTTAGGCTGGATGAGTGACTTGCCAAAATCACACAACTTGTGTGATGGATTTAAATCCAGAGATGTGCACTCCTTATCTAGGGTGCTTCCTAATAGAAGAAAGTGGATGTATTCTACACTGGACACTTTCCCTTAGAGAAAAGCCAGGGACTGTGGGGCTTTTCAGATGATGCGCACAAGAATCAGGCCAACTAAGCAATGAGGTAGAGTGGCAAGATTTCCTTCCAAGGTCACTGGTGGAGGTGTATTTTCTGGGCAACACCACACCAATGTGACCTTTCAGAGGCCTGATCACCTTCTCAAATCAAGGGTCAGCTGATCCTGGGGGGGGATGCAGGTCTCTTCTTATTGAGCAAGACAAATAGATTTCCTGTTGCCCTCAGACCTCAGGGCACATCCTCCCCACCATGGATTCTGTTGCTACCTCTGGCTGCCGGGCAGTTTTGCCTGATAGACTCTGATTCATCTGTTTACCCACTCCAGATGACTTGATCACATTGCACATATCTGGTCCTGTCTGACAACCTTCCAGAAAGAGTCTCACTGAATTTTTTTTAATTAGTATAATACATTTACATAAGGAAAGTCTCCCTTCCTGGTTGAAAGTGGGCAGCCAGAATTATAGAGGGAGTGGATGCATCTTCTGTGGACATATACTCCATTTGCTCCTGTGTTTTACACAAATGGAACATGCTTCCTGCATTTTTAGTTTCATTGTTGTCTCTTGGTTGGCTAATTTGCTTTTGTGAGTTTAGGGTTGAATTTAGCCACTTTGAAGAGCATTCCCTCTTAATGCTCCTCCTCATCAAAATAACAAGAGGCCCCACTGTAAAATGAACTCTGGATTAGGTGAGGCCCTGCTGTGGGATGAGCTCTGAATTAGTTAAGAACCTGCTGTATAATACTCTATAGATTAGGTAAGGTCTTGGTGTAAGATGGGCTCTGATTTAGGTGAAGTCCTGCTGTAGGATGAGCCTTGAATTAGTTGAGGCCCCACGGTGGAATGGGCTCTGGATTAAGTGAGGTTGTGCTGTGATATGGAGTTTGGATTAAGTGAGATCCTACTGTAGGATAGGCTCTGCATTATGTGAGATTCTGCTGTTACATTAGGTGAGGCTCTGGATTAATTAAGGGTTTGCTCTGGGATGGGCTCTGGATTAGGTGAGGTCCAGCTGTAGGATGGGCTCTGGAGTAGGTGATGCCCCTGCTGACTAGTCTTCTCTTAGCCTTCCCAAAGGTAGAGAAAGTCCTGTAGAACACCTCTTGCTGAGAAAACTGAGGCTCAGGAGGGACCTTTCTGTGGGTCAGTGGCACTGTCAGGGGGCCACAGAATTAAGAGCCTCATGACTCCTCCTGGCCTCATGACTCCTCACCCAGAGCTCAGCTCAGGAATTTCTAAAGGTTTGTTTCATGGCCCTGAGTTCTTACTATAGAGATTTTTGAAATCATTAAACCAGGCAGCATAAGCTCTCAAGCTTTTCAGTACAGAGAGCATATAAAAGGTGACGTAAGACTGTTAATATAAGAATGTCCAAACCTGATGAGAATTTTTATGAGTTTATTGGAGCCAAACTGACAACATATGTGGGAGAGCAAGATGTCAAATGCTTTGGAGAAGAACAGTTTTGCAGTTTCTTTTATGCATTTGAAATTAAGGAAGGATCTTAAGAAATATTATATGGAGGTGAGAAAAAGTAAGGTGGGGATCAGATTACAGGGTCAGATTTGGCTGTCTTGGTTTTATCTGAGAAGGAGGGTTGTGAAAGAGAGCATTTCAAAGGTGTGTTAACCTAGATGCACAGAAACAACTGACAAAGCTTGCTTATAGCAAAGCCTTTTAGTAAAGAGGTATATGCCTAGGAAATGACTACCCACCATGACCTGCCCAGTTAGAAATTTATGATCAGATAACCCTGTGAGGTTATTTTCCATAGAACCCCCTACCATGTCCCATACCCTGAAATGTGAGAATCCCAGATCTCTCTCCCTACCCCCCCCCCCCCCACCACCAATCCTGCATACAACTGGTTTTTACCTCAATGCTCTGTTTTCAACAAGCTGGGTTGGAGAGAGTCTTCTGGCCTTCAAACACTGTGTTAAGAACGTGGCTGCACAAGAGAAATGAGAGCAGGAGAAATTTAGAAACAAAAACCAAGTCTCAAATGTTTATGAGTTCATTTCATGGGGATTATGCCCTGGGGAAGGCAGGGCTGGAGTAATACTGGAAATAAAGAGGAAACCCTTGATTGCCCAGATAGGAGGATGTCAAACTCTGAGCTAAACTGGGTCTCCTCACCTGACCTAGCCCAGGAAGACACCCAGGAATGTGCAGCAGGCTGCAGAGCAACTCCTTTCTTTTAGAGTCCCTAGGGTCAGGACCGAAATCACCCTGGACAGAACCTGGGGTCAGGATGGGGCTCAGCCTCCTGGGAAGCTAGTCTTCTAAATGACCTTTCTGCCTGTTGCCTTGAGGTGATCTCCTGGGGACCAGGATCAGATGCAGGAGCCAGCCCAGTGCTTCCAAATGCTTCTACTCCCTGCCAACCAGGGCACCTGGCCAAGTAAGGAGAAGCGAGTGGCCACTATGAAGCTAGCATTCTTTGGTTGACATTGTCTCCATCACCATCCTATAAGGAGGGAAAATTATTCTCAATTTACAGACAAGGAAATGAGGTCATTGTCTCACTCAAGGTCAACTTAAGCATCAGCTCAGCCAGCTATTATGGCAGGATATTCCCTTTTACCCCAAAACCCACCCAGATCAAGTTTCCTTAACTTTAGCTCACTTCCCAACTGAATATCACTCATCTGTTTTTAGTTCCCAGCATCTAGAAGGACTTTGGAGCATTGCATAGGGGGTGGGAGGTGGAAAGGAAAAGGGCTAGAGTGTTGGGAAATTGCTCTTTCAAATTTCAAGTACAGTTAGACCTAGGAGTTAGGGACTTAGCTGTGCTCATGAATTTGGCAGCATCAATGAACCATGAGGTACTATTACCCCTGTCTTGCAGGCACCTCCTCTTTAATAACTGGGGGTTCAGACTTCTAGACACTTAACACTCAGAGAAGAAGTTATTGTCCCAGCATATCTTTGCAGAGCCCCAGAAGCCAGTAAGTGTTCAGTCCTCCCCTGGGGTTTACTGAAAAGGACATGTAGTGTTTTCTATTCTACATCTGCTTGAGGGTGAACTTTCCCTCCTGAGACAGTCTAGGCTATCCTCTGACCCTTGCACTGACGCAACCCCCACAGAAGGTGTGGAGTTCTAGCTTCTTTTTGCACAGGTCAACCTGCTGGAGCCACTTTAGAAGTTAATAATTGTAATTACCCTTTTATGTCAAGTCTT